GAGTGTCAATGGTCCATTTGAGAGATAGGTGGCGGTAATGCACTTATAAGTCTGCGATCTGCCGTAAAGCAAGAAGAAGACGCCTCACACACCTGCTGTTAAGAACGCACTCAGGAGGACGCGCCGCCACTCAGGACAGTTCGGACATTGCGTGAATCAGAGGTAAAAAAAACGATATAAATACTGTTCAGTTTCTTGCACAGACCGATCGTTTTGTGTCTTTACACATCAATGTATCGTCATGAGCCGCAGGGTTTAATTTGGTTTTGTTTGTGTATGTTGTTTTTTACTCTCAAAGCCATAATACATTTGAAATCTCAAAGACATAATACATTTGAAAAGTAGAAAAAAAAATGAAGACGTGATAAAAAGTTTCCGAGACTTAATATGTCCTTCATATAACAAAAAAGAAAACAAGTTGAAATTTTAATAACATTTTAATAAAAATGACCCCCGAGACATAAAACTGCCCGAAGTTGAAGAAACATCCACTTTCTAAATCAATTTTGCTACAAAGGACTGATAACATGAGAAAGAGGCCGTAAGACCCCAAAACTCGAATCACCTGCTCAAATGCTTTCGCCGATCTGTCCTTGCTTCTCATTGGTCAGCTCCGCGCCACGCAAAGGGACTATTCTCCACCGTGTTCTGTCCTCGTTATTGTGGAAATTAGCCTAATCTGATTAATTGTCAGCAGACGCCCATCCGTGCCCTCCAGAAAAACAGTAAGGCAGCCAAGCAGAATGATCACCTAATTATATTTGAGATGAAAAGCCTGATAAGCATTTGCACGCTCACACATTAACTGCATTGACACGGAACTGACCTTAATCAGTTTCATATGACGGGCTGTCACAGACTCCAGCCGAGCGACTTTGATTTACTGTGTTCACAGTGAATTTGATCAGGGAAGGGGATGTTGACGTTGCAGAGTAGGTAATTCTACACTAAACCTTCACTGTCTGGTGTTTGCTCAAGGACGGTGACTGTTGTGCTTTTATTTTGCTTTTTCCTTTGTAGAGAAATTATAGCAAGGCGATTTGTTCTTTTTGTGTTTTTCCATCAAATGGTTTATAATTTGTTGGATTAAAGAAATGTGAATAAAAGTGCATGTTTTATTGCTTTGGTGTGAATAGAAAATGCATTGGACTGTTTTAGCATGTATCTGCTGGCTGGTGATGACTAGATTAATCAGAATACAGGGGTGTCAAGATCCGTTTTTAAAAGTTGAACTACTTTTAACTTAACACGCCATCTCAAATATAAAGATTTATTTTTTAAATAAAGCCATTTATCGCATGTTCATATAGACAACATTTAAACAAAGCTGCAGACAGATGCAAGAAAGCATGTGAACTGCCCCTTAATAGGTTAGGATTCAGCAAGTCAGACATGTTGCCCACCTTAAACCAAAACTCCCTGATCCATGATTCCTGCGCTAAAAAAAAAACGAAAGAGAATTATGTATTCTTTGTTTTCCTATGCCACAGTTCTGAAGGTTTAACGTTAGCATTCTGTGAGCGACCATTAAATATGTAAGAATACAAACCACTTTGAAACACAGCTTTGCGATTCTGAGACGTTTCAAAAATCCACAGGATTGTTCGAGGAGATTTGTCCCATTGCTCAATCAGAATTTTTAAATTTCAGCAGTGAATGGCAGAGGGCTAATCGGATATTAAAATATGCATGGTTTTAGCATGGGAAATGAGATGAGGATCTGATGGTGAAGGGAGAGATGGATAGACTCATTAAATATTAATACTCATTCTACAAAATATTTAAACAGCCGGTCATTTCCACTGCCAGCAATAGGGGTTCAAATTAGTTGAATCAGTTGGGAGCAAAGTTTGCCCTAGATTGAACTATTTGATGAACTGAAAGCATGAGTAAAACTATGCCATAGTTATGAGGTATGATTACAAGAGTTCATTAGGTATTTTAATTAGTAAAATGATTTGAAAGGCTTTGATCTGCTATGTATAAAGGTTCATATTGATCAAGGTGTAGTCCAAGGTGCCGCTTCATCTGGTGGGTGGTAAGTAAAGAGGAAAAATAACCTTCCCTCAGAGTTATGATGGCTTTCTTGAGTACTGGCAACTGTTTTTGTTTGTTGTCAGCTTCATTGCACCGAACTTCTATGGTGCCGTTTCAGAAATTGCTAATTGGGGAAATGCAGCCATTTCATCTCCATACATTTGGTCAATAGAGTTCTGATGCACTATGAAACTGAATCTTATATAACATAAATCTTCTCTTTCAGGTTAGAAGCGGTCCATTGTGGCTGTTACCCCCTCTGTCCGAGGGCTTTGGTATATCCTGAAATATTCCCTGGTAAAAAAAAAAAATTAATTCTTTCATTTTCATCAATTTCATATGCAAAAGAAGATTATTTTCACAGGCAAAGCTGCTATGTTCAACTTCTGTATTTAATGACTTATTCATCTTAAAGCACAATTGAAGAATTTGCCATAAACCATTCTGGCATTTTTATATAAATAAATAAATATAACCACAATTCAATAATGTACAGCATCACGCAGCATGGTGTCAGCTGAATTTTTAATGCTGAAAGTGCCTGCGATCTCTTCTGCTCTTTGATGTTTCTGACTTATCAAATATGTATTTTCCTCTTGTAGCAACATATCTGTATTCAACACCTGAACAGCTGTGTAAAAGACTACAAGACTTCTGCAAACGTCCACAGTTAGTCAGACAACATGTTACTCAGGTAAACAATGTTAATTTAGCTGGGAATCAAATCAAGCGCAAAGACTTCTACAGAGAATTCTAGTCATAAATTCTAGTGCTTTTTAGTCATAAAATTCAGTGACTGTACATGAATAAACATTCATCAAGGAAACTACATACAACTGGTGGGTCGCAAGTCTGTTCTAAGGGAAAAAAGCAATGCTACATGCAAAAATGCTGCTCTATAAGCATGCACAGTTAGCTAAATAGTCTTAGTTTTCAAATGAACTTGTTCTTGAGGTCAAAGGTCATGCATCCACTGTATTTTGATGCAAATTTGCCACATATACTGTAGAAGTTTTAATGCAAAAAAAAACAAAGAAGAGAAAGAAACACATTTACATACAAATACATTTAAATGTTTGATTTATAGTTGTTGTTGTTTCTTTTCACTGGTTTGGGTCCCACTTGATGTCGAAGGTAAAATTGGACAAAAATTATGAAATGATTAAGATCATTCTCATGCATACCCATGTGAGAGAAACTGCTTAACTAATCATAAAACAATAAAATTCCAATTCCGTCATAACATTTTCACTGTTCTCTGCTCTTTCCATTTCTTTCCCCTTTATTCTCTTGTCTCTCTTTTCCCTAGGTGAACCTCAGTGCTTTCTCCTGGGACACTCTGGGGGACAGTTTCAGATCTCTCCTGGGAGCCGAAAGTGACAGGAAGTTAACAGAGGAGCAAATGTCATGATGTGACCCCAAGAAATACATTATGATTTAAAATCCAGCCTCATTGTGAAAGAGAGTTTATGACCCGGAAAAACCTCTGCTATTATTTAAGAAAAACATGTATATGTGATTTTAATGTTCTCATGTGGCGGAAAAAAGCTATTTTATATTTGTGGTTAATGGAAAAAAGAACAAAGTAAAAATAAACAATCAAAAAACCTGAAACCGCTTTCGTGTTGTGCCTAGGCGGGCCCACCTCATATTTCGGTTCATATCCATTTTTATCCTTTGTGCCGGAGGACTCCAGCCTGGAATTCTGGAGTCTTCGGTTCCCACTCCGACAGAGCGGCAGCCAAGTTGTGGCTTGAAACGTTGTGGGCTCTCGCTCCACCTGAGGTTGCCAGGTTGTGACAAAGTCCACCGAGGCTCAGTAAAAGTTGATGCAAGGCTTCCCCAGGACTGTGGTTGAATCTAAATATGGTTCTTTTATTTTCCTTGCATCCTAGATCTGGCTGTACGTTGCAACCGGGAACCCACTGCGTAATTAAGGGGCCATGGTAACTAGCTATTTATATGTTTTTGCAAAATATAAAATCTGGGCAAACTAACAATGGCCTGTCAGATTTTCCGTAAAGATGTAAGTGTCTGCTTTCATAACACAGCAATGCCACAATCACAAGGCCAACTTCAGGCCTGCCAACATATGTGTTATTAAAAGTGGCCTGACTTTTATTGCAAGAGTTATTGAAGGATTCCTCCTATCAAGCATTCTCTCAATAAAGCTGCAGAATGCCGTTATTATTTCAGATGCATCGATTATTCAGGTGCGCCGGACGGAGGATTCGAATTAAAGGCTCAAATATAATAATGTCGCCGTCTTCTCACATGCATCCAAGATTAGTCTCATTACTCCTCATTAAGTAGCGGTGCTTCCTTTACAGCTCATAGAAAAATAGTCCTAATATCCTACCTCCATCTGTAATGTATTTCATATTTTAGGGGGTCAGTGAGATACTTTTGTGTGCCGTATGATATTTATTGCGAGTTATCAAAGCATTATCACTTATGATTTGCCTCTTTTTGTTCATCCTTGTGTTATTTATAAGGAGCAGATGGATGCGATTGACCTGTTTCCACCTCATCCGGCAATGTCAGATGAATTTGCCATCTACTCCGGGCCGACCCAAGGTCAGGACCTAATGACGCCATAAAGCCTATAACCTACCGTTTCAGCACAAAATGTCACCCCACATATAAAAAGTTATAGCAACCTCTATAAAACTCAGTGCACATTAAACCATTTCATTGGCCTGTTGCTGTTTTCTCACTGATGGTGTTCTAGGGATATGAAGCTAATTTCATGCTGGCCAAATTCAGTGGCAAAACAAATGGGATTAAGACTTGTGCGGTCTTCTTATTTTTTCATGTTTGGTGTCCCACTGGCGTAGCACAGAGCTTGGAAAGCGGCCATTCACATTACATGACTAAATTTGTAGATATTTTAATATTTGACAGGGGAATCACTAAAGTGAATTTGATCTGATATAGCTTCGGATATAAATACTCATCTGTTTAAGATCAGCTTTGGGGTTAAATATGATATTCAGACCTTTGAACGTTATCAGATAATGTTATAAATTATTAGATACTTGAATACTCTGTCATTTCTAAGTTCATTGCTGTAACCAGAACAGAATTTAGAGCAGCAACTCACTGCAAACAAAACGACACAGAATCATAACAGCCTCCTCTGAAACCAGCAAAAGGATTTAGGAAATGGAAAATGGAAAATGGAAATGGCACTTTAATGAGAACCCTCAAGTTCTGACTTGAGCAAAAATTAGTGGTCACAGTACAGTTTGAGCATGGCTGTCACCAAATTAGGAAGGATTTTTTATTTTTTTTTTATGTATTAATAATGTATGTATTGCAATTTTTTTTCTAATTATTGTTTAGTAATGGGAATAATCTAATTTCAACCTTCTAAGTCAGGAGCATATTTTTAATTTTTTGTTCAACCCCTACTTACTAGCACCTGTAATATCTGACGCTTTATTTTTGGGCTATTTCACTAGATTGAAGTTCTTATGCGTTAAATGTCATTTTTAACATCTAAAAGAATTAACACTTTATAATAAGTATACACTAATAAAGTGCTTACAAATTATTTGCAAAATGAAAATTAGTGTGCTCAAGGGAAATTTTTCATATCTTTCTTATTTGACATTCAATATCTCAAGAAAGAAATAAGGTAGAGGGAAAAAAACTTTTTTGGCGATGTTCCCCAACATGTTAGCTGTATCTGTTTCAAATTTTGTGGTGATAGCATAAATAACTTCAAAACTGTAACAAGGAGAGTCAAAAGGTAGGTATTGTTTAATAGAAAACTTAAACTTTTAGAAAATACATTTTCTTTACATTTGGACATTCTCATGCTGAGATATAGGTGATAAAATGTAAGAAAAATTAGTGTGCTCAAGGGACATTTTTCATATCTTTCTTATTTGACATTTAATATCTCAGGAAAGAAATAAGGTAGGAAAAAAACTTAAAAACGTGAGCTGTATGTGAATTAAATTTTGTGGTGATATCATGAAGTAATCAAAAGTTACAGTAAGCTATTTGGAATTGTAAAGTTCAGTGCACAATGCACATGCATTGTAAAGTTCAGACTCTAAGCTTTCAAATGACACCTATTTCATGTTGCTGAAGGCAGTGGTTCTGAAAAATATGATTTTTTTTTTTTCTTCGCTAGGTGGCACCTGCCGGTGATTTACTCCGGTTTAGAGGGACTACTCAGCACTCGTTAAGAGTTGATCAAAATGGTTGGATGCTTTAAAATGGTACCTATTTATATAAAAAAAGTTATAAAAAAGACAGAATAGACAGAAACATGATGGCTTTTACATTGTACTTGCCAAGTGTTCAATAAAGCTCTCCAACTGTTGTATTCAGTTCATGGGTTTAGTTATCATACACATGAAAGATGCAATGGATTATTTTGATTTTGGACTCATTTTAATCGTGAGAATCTGCTGTAACTGATGTGCTATTTTCGGATGTACTATCAGGATCGGAGCATGTTTCGTGAAATGACAAGTGTAAAAACCATGTGAAAGTTATAACATGCACCTTTGGGGTTTTATGTGTTATAAATCGATGAATATCTTTAGATCTAAATGATAGATTATGGTGAGTTTGGGCTAAAAATAATGATGTGCCATTTTCCACAATCTATGCATATTTCATGAGGTTATGAACAAAAACGCCACGTGAAAATTGCCATTTATTTGTTTTATTTAGCGGTTTTATGAGTCTTATAACAATATAAGGAATATCTTTAGATATAATGAATTACGTTGAGTTGGATTCTTTTTAATTGGGAGAATTTTCTGCAAATAATGACGTGAAATTTTCCACTATGCATGTTTCATGAAGTTGCGAGTGAAAACGCCGCATGAAAGCTACCTTTGATTTATTATTTTTTTTTTTTATTATTATTATTATTATTTATTTATTTTATTTATTTTTTATTTTTTGCTAAGCTACATGTTGCCTGGTCAATTTTATGTGTGTTATAAATTCATGAGGAATATATTTCATTATAAATGATGGGTTATATAGTGAGTTTGGGCTATTTTTAATCAGGAGAATCTGCTCAAAATTGTCCATGATCTGAGCATGTTTGTTTTATGAAGTTGCGAGCAATAAAGTGACATAAATGCCACATTCATATATTATTTTCAAATGGGTCTGGGGTGACTTGTACAAAAACTTGCTCAAGTTTAGTTAAAGCCCCAAACAATTATGCTTGTTTTATTCTACTTGATGAGACCTTTCAAATGACATATGACACATGACTATCTGAGCTGTATGATGTCTTTGACATATTTAGAGTACATGGCACAAAAAAAACATTTTGTAATTGATGATAACTTTTTTTTTTTAATCAGCAAATAACAACACTACTTTGGAGTTAATCAAATTGCTACATGCATTGTAAAGTTCAGACTCTAAGCTTTCAAATGATATCCATTTTTTGTTGATCAAGGCAGTGCTTTGAAAAATATTAGTATTTTTTTTTTCTATTTTGTGTTATTCCATTCGGTGATTGCTTAGTAATTTGATTATGATTTATTTTGTGGGGGAGGTGTCCCACCGGCAGGATACCTCGGGTTTAAAGGGTTAATTAGCTCATATGTAAAGAGTTAGATAATGCTTTAACAACTCACTTTAGATTAGGTCACGTAAAATGGTAAAATGTTATTAAGTGCTTTAAACCAACCTTTACTTTTACACAAAGTATATCCGTAAGCGTAATGGTTTTTACACTGTACAAACTGTAATACAACATTAATAGATTTCTGTTGTTTTGTTATATTCTGTCCCTTAACCCTACCCCTAAACCTACCCATCAAAGAGAGAGAGAGAGATTTCTGTGAGCGGTAGGTTTAGGGGCTAGAACATACAGTTTGTGAAGTATAAAAAAAAATTTTGCGTATGGAGAGAGAGAGAGAGAGAGAGAGAGAGAGTGTGTGTTCTGTGTCTGTGTCTGTGTCTGTGTGTGTGTGTGTGTGTGTGTGTGTGTGTGTGTGTGTGAGAGTGAGTGAGTGAGTATGTGTCCTTAATGTATCTGTAAACATTTTAAGGGACAGCGAATATGAATGCTATTAATGTTCAATATAGGTTGGTTTAAAGTACTTTATTAATGACATTTTTTCCATTTTCCTTGACCTAATCTAAAGTGACAACTATTCACTCCATATTACCGATCAACAATTCCTTTACTATGAGCTAATTAAAAAGCAATAATTGTGGTAATTATAGTGACAATGAATGAAGAACTCACTATTTGTATAGAGTCTATTAATGTATTAACCACAGTATATAAACTATGAATTAACTAATAGTTTGTTAATGATTTGTAAGTACTTTATTAGTGTATACTTATTATAAAGTGTTACTAAAGAATTTTTTGAATAATTTAGATTTTTTTATTCTAATTGTCAGAATAAATACTCCAGTAACAATAATAATAATGATATACTCTTATTTTTAAATAATTTACTTTCTAAAGTAAGGGAAATATTTTAAGGGTTTGTAAATGATTTGTTAGAAATGGACTGTACTTAAAAAAAAAAAAAGGCTTTTATTTTCTCTTTGCTGTGCTGCTTGATGGCAGTTTATTTATTTTAGTCTTTTTTTTTCACACCAGCTCATGTTGTGGCACGCTGTCCAATTATACCATTACCAAGGGGGGAGTGTGTACTACTGTTTGTGGTCGTACAGTACGGTTGTGTGATTATATCATTTGTTTATTTCTGAACACAGGATGAGAAGGAGGCCCTGGCTGAAATAACAGGTAGAATACTTCTCATCTTTTCACTCTGAGTTTGTATAACATTGCCCTGTTCCCTGATCTTAAAGGAAGACCAGAGGAAAAGGATAAGAGAAAGAGAGAGAGAGACGTAGGCTACTTGTCCTTGTGTGAATCAGTCATATGCTATCAATATGCTGCCATGTTCTGTAGGAGCCCAGGCTCTTTTTAATGGGGCCTGGTGGTTAGAACATGGCAGGCATCTCACAGGGACACTGTATTGCTATGCTTTCATTTACTTTTGGGCCCTTTCTTGCTTTTCTTTCTCTCTCTCTCTCTCTTTTTTTTTTTTTTTGCAGACTTACAAAGATGCTCGTTTCCATGAAGCTTGTCCAAGAGGGATGGGAAAACAAAGTGTGGGGGTGGGGTGTGTAGGAGTTTGTCAGGTTTCGGAAAAGCACAGTGGTCTCCAGTTATTACATGAAATCATTAGACATGGAACGTCTTGGCTTACGTAGAGAAAACATAAAGGCCGCAGTTTCAAACGGCTTTGTGCGCCCCTCGCCCACCAACCGCATGGCGTCAATGGAGCTCTTCACACTGGTCACAATGGTTAGCAGACCCAATAATTTGTTGCTATTTGTTCCCCAACATAATGATGGCACACACACACATATATATATATATATATATATATATATATATATACACTACTGTGCAAAAGTCTTAGGCCATTTGTATTTTCACCAACAAAAAAATGGTTAAGTCAGTTATTTCTATATTTTGCTGTAGTGTGTCAGTTTACATTTCTAAAAATTGCTTTTGCCATTAATTGGAATAATGCAGAGATTTTTGTATGCACAAGGAGTCTGACGACAGCCAGTGCGCCATGCAGAGATCTGATCTCACCATCATGCAATCCGTCTGGGATTACATGAGGAAACTGAAAAAACTGAAGCAGACTAAATCCAGAAGAACTGTGGCAACGTCTCCAAGATGCTTCAAGAATCTTACCTGCAAAGCTACCTGAAAAACTATGTGCAAGTGCACCGAGGACAAAAGCTGTTTTAAACGCAAAGGTTGGTCACACCAAATATTGATTTGATTTAGTTAATAGAAGTTAATTAATACATAACATAAATTTATGACATTATTTTTGAAAGCATCCTCACTTTACAGCATTTTTACACAAGTGCCTAAAATTTTTCACGGTTCTGTAGTGAGATTTTTGTTTGCACAAGGAGTCTGACAACAGCCAGTGCTCCACACAGAGATCTGATCTCATCATCATGCAGTCTGCCTGCAATGACATGAAGAAACAGAACAAACTGAGACAGACTAAATCCAGACGAACTGTGGCAATGTCTCTAAGATGCTTTAAGAAACCTACCTGCAAAGCTACCTGAAAAACTATGTGCAAGTGCACCGAGGACAAAAGCTGTTTTAAACGCAAAGGTTGGTCACATAAATAAGTTGAATTAATTGATAAATAAAATCTATTTATGACATTATTTTTGAAAGCATCCATACTTTACAGCATTTTTACACCTTTTCACAGTATTGTAGCTTTGCAGGTAGGTTTCTTGAACCGTCTTGTGTATATATATATATATATAAACACTACAAGTTAAAAGTTTGGTCAGTAAGATTTTTTTTTTTTTTTTTTTTGTATTTAGCAAGAAAGCATTATGCATAAATGTTTCTTGAGCAGCAAATCAGCATTCTGCAGGATCATGTGTCACTGAAGACTGGAGTAATGGTGGCAGAAAATTCAGCTTTGCCATCACAGGAATAAATTACATTTTAAAATAAATTAAAATAGAAAAGATTTAAAATTGCAATAAAAAATGTTCTGTTTTTACTGTATTTTTATCAAAAAAACAAAACAAAAACTAACCCGAAAGGTAGTGCATACATTTTTTTATTTATATTGGCAAGGTAAAAATCTGTACAGCAAACAATCTGAACAACAATACTGAAATAAATACTTTGGTATTTTTTTATTTATTTAATTTTATTTATTTATTGTATTTTTTTTTAGATTCAGTCACTTCACTCCACACTGAACACTCAAAATGCACCACACCTTTTCGCAAGCCAATTTGATGGGGGACGTTAATTTTGCACATATTAATGAGCAAAGCACCACCTGCAGTACGACGGCTCTCAAAGTGTGAGCTGTGTTGCACAAAGCCCAGTGTCATGTGACCATGGGCTCTAGCACAGAATAAATCTGGGCGTTCGCTTCATGTACACAGCAAATATCTGCCAATATTCTCCCCTGGGTTACTTACCACTTCAGTCCATCCACCCACACATTTTGATTTCTTATTATTTGAAGCATTTAATGCAAGAACGAACTTTACAGCATGGCCTCTCAACTCTGCTCGGGCATCTGATGTTCAGTGCCTACTTTTGACCAAGGAATAAAGCACTGAGGTCTACCTCTATCATGACACTTGTCCAATTC